TATGCGATCTCTTTTTATTAAACTTTTTTATATTTTGGTCACTGTTCTATGTCCGGTGAAATGTTCAACGTTCATTTTGGCCGAATGACCTACCGTTGGACTCGTCTCCTCGAGCCCGTCGTATGCGTAAATTTTAGTCACATTGAAATATGTTTACCCGTTCAATTTTTCGTAATACTTGTTTTGTGCATTTTATTTTTTTGCCCTTTACTCTCTATTTCCTGTGATTTTGGTATTGTAAGACTTCCATTTTAATTGAGTTACTTACTATTGGACTTGACTTCTTGAGACGGGTAAAACCATAAAATTTTAGGTCAATCGGATTTCATATTCTCTTTTCTTTGTAAAAACATTTATATGCATTTTATTTTTTGTTTGTGTTGAAGTGTGAAATCCTTGATTGAAGTTTGTACTGGGTGTTATCATGCAAATATCTGTTTAGTGTTGCTCTTCTTTTATTAACTATGTCGCGTTTCTCTTGGACTCTTTTAGGGCGCGTTTTTATTAGCTTTGGGTGCATTTTATTTTAGCCTCTTAAATAGGACACGTGTTGGCTTCTGGTAGGGCATTATGGATTGTAAGGGTATTAAACATGCTGTACGTCTCTCTTATCATTTTGAGTTGAATTTACAGAGCTTTAAGCTAAAATGAAAATGGCGATTTAAGATCTATTCATCTTTTCTTCTTGTTTTTCGATCTATCACAAACAAAGCTCAGATTTACATGGTATCTAGAGCGGGTAGAAGATGGCGCACAGTAACAAAATCGTTTTAAGGGGAATCTACACTCGCGATGTAGATCCACTCTCTCTTCATGGATCTGATAACCCTGGTTTGGTCCTGGTCACGAATCAACTCACAGGGGCAAATTATTTGCATTGGAGCCGCGCTATGAAACTTGCCCTTAGTGCGAAGTCGAAGCTTGGATTTATCAATGGAGCAGTAGAGATTCCAGAAGCTGGCTCAGAGGAGTATAATCAGTACCAAAAGGTAGAATCCATGGTCATCTCTTGGTTGCTTAACTCCATTTCAAAAGATATCGTAGAATCTTTTACATATGTTAAAAATGCTAAAGAGCTGTGGGATGAGCTAGCTGAACGGTATGGTGAGAGCAATGGACCCTTGAGGTACCAATTGCAGAAGGAAATAACAAATTTCACTCAAGGAAGTCTCACTGTCACTGCATATTTCACTAAGTTGAAGTGCCTGTGGGATGAATACTCTTGCCTAGTCTCTATACCTGACTGTGTTTGTGGATCTGGAAAGAAATTTTGTGAAGTTGACATGGAGATAAAGTTGATGCAGTTTCTTATGGGACTTAATGAAGCCTTTGAACCAGTGAAGAATCAAATACTATTGCTTGATCCATTACCTACCATAAATAGAGCTTACTCAATGATTTTGAAGGTAGAAAGACAGAAAAGTGTTGGTATAAAAATGACCACTCAGCTGGAGTCTTCAACCATGCTAGTTAGAGGAAGTTTTGGGAGAGGGAATACTGGCAGAACACAGGGTTTTGGAAGAGGCAATGGTGGAAGGAACTTGGGATCACAGAACTTCAATGGTGGAAGAGGAAGAGGAGGCCCAAGATTGTCTAAGGAGGAAAGAGCAAAGCTCTTTTGTACACATTGTGGTTATAATGGACATGAAGTCCAAGGATGCTTCAAATTAAATGGCTATCCAGATTGGTTTAAAGAGCCGAGGGAGCAAAGACAAGCTCAAAGTGTGAATATGGCTGACAAGGATGACTCTTCAAAGGGTGATTCAGAAAGCAGATCTCAACACAGTGACACATTGCCTGACATAAGTTCCTTGATTCAAAAGGAGGTTGCTAAATATATGGTTGGGCAGCATGAAGCAGAAACTAACACATATTCTCATTTTGTGGAATATTCAAGTGACAAAGAGGATTATGCATTTTCACTGGCTGGCAAACTTGACAAAAGTAGCTGGATTGTGGACACAGGAGCAAGTAAGCACAATTGCTGTGAGGCTGAGATGATGACAAAGAAAGTTACCTCCCAAGTTCCCATCATTGTGAATCTACCTGATGGAACCAGATTGAAGGTCACACAAGTTGGTGAGGTACAGTTCAATGATAGGATAATCCTCAAAGATGTATTGTTGATCCCAGAGTTTAAATACAATCTTCTGTCAGTGGGTCAACTTGTGGAGAACAATGGGATGCACTTTGTGTTCACCAGTAAGAATTGCAAGTTGAGGGACACTAAAACTAATTCTGATGTAGCCTTTGGAAAGGTAGTGGCAGGTTTATATGTGATTGAGGCAAAGAAGGTCTTGATTAATGCTGCTGATGAAGAAAACTTACAGGATGAGGAATTGTTCTTATGGCATAGAAGGTTGGGTCATAGTTCTGTCCAATGTCTAAGGCACTTGCATTTTCTAGCAAACAAGTCTGAGACTCAATTGTTGAAGCCATGTGACATATGCCACAGATCAAAGCAAAGCAGGCTGCCCTTTCCACTTAGTCAGATACAAACTAAGCAGAAATTTGAATTAATCCATGTGGATGTTTGAGGACCACATCTTGAAGAATCAGTACTGAATGTTTCTTACATGCTAACCATTGTTGATGAATTTACAAGGGCTACCTGGATTTATTTGATGAAGTACAAGAGTGAGACTCACAATCACCTGAAATCCTTCTTCAAAATGGCTGAGGTGCAATTTGGTGCTAAAGTGAAACAAATGAAGAGTGACAATGGCACTGAATTTGTAAATAAAGACATGTATGCTTTATTGAAGGACAATGGGATACTGCACCAAAGAACATGCCCCTACACTCCACAACAAAATGGAGTTGTAGAGAGGAAGCACAGGTCCATACTTGAAGTGGCAAGATCAA